TCACCATCTTGTTTGTATTAGTTAATAAATTATATTATTAGAGATTTGTTTCAATTATATTTTAAAATATTATAATTAATTAATTTTTTAAGATGCCATTTATGATCATTTTACATTCTTATCAGCTAGTTTTGCTAAACACTATTTGTTCATCAACTACCAGTTAGTTTATAAGTTAACAGCTAATTTATCAGCTAGTTTCCAAACATAGCAAGGTACTTTGACGTCATTTTTATTTTATACAAAAAATTCTAGAAAAATAGATGAATACATTATTGGATTTTTTTCCATTTTGAATGATAAGGTTTTTAATTTTTTTATATAAATAAATAAATAGTTGAACTTTTAACAATTGGTTACCTAAACCATTTTAACCCATTTATATCTAATCGGCTATGAATGTTTTAATGTAAAAAAAAATCTCAATCAGTTTTATCATTTTCAAATCTTATATCATTCAAACTTCTCACACTTATTGACATTACTCTCCCTAGTCACCTCTCGTCGTCCGCTCCTTATTACCGTCCTTGTTGTCGTTGCCCCCTATCATCGATCTACCTTATTTTATATGTTTTTTGTATTATGATTCTCACTCTTTTCTAGCCATTCAAAGGAGTACATATAAAAAGATAAAAAATGGAGAGAATCGAAAAACAAAAAAAAAAATCAAAAAGAGAGAGATTGATGGTAGGGGGCTATGACGGTGATGCGCGGTGATGAAAAGTGGACAAGGATGGGTGGCCAATGAAGAGCGGATAACAGTGGGACAACAAGGGGTGATGACGGGGATCTATGGTTGGATATAAGGGGTTTGAACGGTGAAATGTTTGGGAATGGTAAAACTGATTTAGAATTTTTTTTTCTTACTTAAAAACTTTTATAGCCAATTACACGTAACTTTTTGGGTTAAAATGTAGTTAACCAATTTATAAAAGTTTGATGGTTTATTTATTCAAAAAAAAATGTTCATGGGCTTAAACATATTTATTAAAAAAGAATCACAAACTTATGTAAAGCTCGTAATTTTGTTAGTTTAGGAATTCGGGGTTTGATTGAGCAATCTTCTTTACAAAATGACAAATTATGTGTTTGTTTGGTAATTAATCACGTTGGTTGTTTTCGGTATGTGCAGAGAGCAAAATCGAGGATTTTGGCCGAATTAAGGCTCTAGATGAATTGGCACGCGATCTGATGTTGCAGCTAGGGTCGCTTGACGTACTAGGGGAACAACCAACCTGAGCCTCGGAAAGGAGCTCACGCAACCGGTGGCACGAGCACGTAAAGCATCAACTGGTGGCACGAGCGGCCTAGCTTGCAACCTAAAATCACGGCCAAGGTCGAGTAGATGACCATATCCATTTTTAACCATTTCAAGTATTTGGTGGTTTTGGTACAATTTCATGATTCAGGTTATTCAAGTGATTTGACCTTTTGGGGAACTTTGATGTCTAAATCTACATATATCACAAAAAATATCTGTTTTAAGCCCTTAGAGTGTTTTGATATATATATATATATATATATATATATTAGTTTGTGTTAACCGTGAGGTCCAATATGAGTCTATCATTTTATGATATTAATTGTATTACCTTAATTAATAGGTAAAGAGTGATTTAGTAAAATAATTAATTATAATATAAATATTTGTCTTATTTAATAGTTATCAATCAAGAATTCGATTTCCTTAATTATCTCAACAAAGTTGATTTTATAGATTATCGTTTCCTAATTCTTCAAACCTTCACTTCATCGTTTGAATCATACCATAAAATCAAAACCTTTTGACGAATTGAATAAAAAATGGAATTATATACGTACCCATCTCGTTCTTCCCATTCGTCTTCACAGCTTGATGAACATTGTGTCGCCCAGATGTCGATGGTACACCACAACATGATCTCGTCGAAGACTTCGATGATGCGTTAAAGCCCAAGTCTCGCATGAGACCTCGACGGTGCATCACAACATGATCTCGTCGAAGATTTCGATGATGTGCTAAAGTTGAGATCTTGCTGGAGACCTCGACTGCTTTACCACAACAGATCTCGTTGGAGACCTTTACGGTGCACCACAATACCATCTCGTCGAAGATTTTAATGATGCGCTAAACCCATATCTCGTCGGAGACCGAAAACGTGTATCACATTGTGGTTGTGTGTGGCCTAAAACTCAAATCACATATGTTATCAACCCATGTTCAAGACGTTATCACAGAGGTATCACAATGTTTATTATAATTGGTTTTGTGTCTTACTGATATAAATTTTTGGGTATCACAACGTGTATCATATTTGTTTTGTGTTTTACTGTTAGAAATTCTTGGCCGGAGAGAGAGAGGAGCGAGGGAGGAGAGAGATTTTAAAAAGACTATTTACCCTATATATTATCCGTAAACTTAAATTATTTGAAAATTAATGAATAGTTACCAAAATTAATATGTTTAATAATAACCATTGATTATTAATAATGTGTGGTTAAGATTGGATCTCACAGTTATCACAGACAATCGAGTTTTTTCTTGATTGGACCCCTATATATATATATATATATATGCACACACATATATATAACGGTAATCAAATGAGAACCAAAAGAAGGCCGTGAACCGTGAAAACCAATCTAATCCATTAGTTAATTTTAATCTAGGGTCATTAAAGGTAATGACAATTTTGAAATAAATTAAAACTTTATGATTTATTGAAGGTTAAATTTGAATCGGGAAGGACATATTGGGTATTAAACCTATCTAGTGGTTTTGTGGTATGTGATAACCGGATCCTGGTTATCACTCAAGGTAATTAATGTGTGATTATCTGATTAAATAATTTTGTGATAGCATGATAAATTGTTATATTTGATCATGCTAGTGTGTGAAAATTATGTGC